CAGTAAATTAGAAAGTCTGGAAGGAATGACCAAAAATGTCAAGAATTACATGACAATATTGCAATAAGATGAAAACAGATGCATAAACATCAATAAACAACAGCACTGAAATAGCATAATAAAAATATCTTACAACAAACAGTACTTCAGGAGTAACAGAGTCACTGGTGAATCCACCCAATTTTTAAACAATGAACACCAATGCTCCTGAAACTATTTCATAAAGGAGAAAGAGAGGAGAAACCTCTAAGCTCATCCTACAAAGCCAGTACTGCCCTTTTATTAAAACCAAAATAACAATAGGGCCTTACGTTCAAGTTCTGGCAGGCAACCAAGGGCAATGGCAATCGCTTATATTGATTTGGGAGTCTCTTGAATTACCCTGACCATCAACTTGAAAGGAAGTTTCCCTTGCCTGGCACTGGGGTTTTTGCTAGTCTACAGTTCTCAGGGTTAGCATTATCACCCTGTATGTCTTAACTACATCTGAAATATATATGTATATTTCAGACCCTTTTTTAAAAATTTTATTTATTTATTTATTTTTATTTAATGTGTATGGGTATATTGCTTATATATATGAATGTAAGTGTACCATGTCATGCAATCCCTGTGGAGGTCAGAAGAGGGCATCAGAATCCCCTGTGGAGGTCAGAAGAGGGCATCAGAATCCCCTGGAACTGAAGTTATGGGTGGTTGTTAGCCACCATGTGGGTGCTGGGAATCGAACCCTGGTCTCTGCAAAAGCAGTCAGTGCTCTTAACTGCTGAGCCATCTCTTTTTTTTTGGACATGGGATCTCGTGTATTTTAGGCTGTTTTTGGTCTTTATGAGACAGGGTCTCCCTGGCCTGGAACTCACTACATAGACAACGCTGGCCTTGAACTCAGAGAGTACCACCTGCCTCTTCCTTCCAAGTGCTGGGATTAAAGGCATGGGCTGCCATGCCCAGCTCTAATGCTTCACTATTACAGTCATCACAAGCATATATGTTTCTGTATTTATGTAATGATTTCCACAAAATGAATACATAGATACAGACCTTCTAATACATGGATGTAATCTAAAATGTGAAGCTGATTGAAACAGTGTACACTTGTGCTGACAATACTTGTTTTTCCATACTCTTGTTATGCTATTAGGTATAAGTGTCCTTGCTTCTCCTAGGATGAGCTGTTTCTTTCCCATATTCCCAAACCATACTCAAATTTTTCTTGTACCTGAAATGAATTTGTGTGCTTAATGTGAAGTAGTACTCTGCTGTTATTTCAAAATAGTTATTTTTGGCACCCTCATTTTCCCCCAACTCATTTGAAATGCTACCTCTGGCATATACCTACATATATACCTTGATCTCTTTCTGGGTTTTTCTCCTTTTCTATTATTTCTCTATTACTATCTAAATAAATGCCATCTGACTTTAGCCATTGTGGCTTATCCTTTTTGATAAACTAATAGCCTACTACATATATTCAAGTCCATACACAGTGTTCTTCCTGTAAGTTTCTGGCACTTTGGAAGACTTCTAGGTTTTGTTTACTGCCTGAGCCTTGTAGATTTTGTTTACTTCTGGAGTCTTAATGAGCCTCAGTCCAGGAGGGAATGTTTCAATTTGGAGGTTGCTGCACAACACTATAAAGAAGGACACCAACAATGTCACACAGCCAGGCTGTGAACCCTAATCTTCCTATTTGTCAGCTCAGCTTTATAGTATCCTCAATACTAATGGATATCGAATAAGTTGTGTAAAATCTTTTTAAAAAGGAAAAATAGTCCCTACTAACAAAGATTTAATTTCAACTTGTGAACAGGAAACATTTAATATGTAGAAAAGATAAAGATTTTAGGCATGTTAATTTTCCAGTTATAATCTTCTGTTATTGATTCTTTTCCAGAATGTTGGCAAAAGATGAACTGATAACCATACTTGAGAAATGTTTTGAGGTCTTGAATTCCTCTTCTGAAAAGCAGCTTGGCAGTACAATAAAGAAAATAGAGGATTTCTTGTCCCAGTTTCAGAACCTTGATGGTGAGTGTGATATCCTGCCCATTCTACTGTCTGTGACAGTCCATTACCCAAAATGGCGTGGAAGACCCCTTGTGATATGCTGAGACACTTAAGAGATAAAGCAGTATAAGAGCAGGCAGCAGAGCAAGACTCAGAATGTCAAATCAACAATCACAGTAGGCAAAATGCTTCTCTTCAGGATTTGGTTTAAACAGTGAAGAAAAGTGAATAGTCAGGAAGAAATTTTTCATTCTTCAGATGGACAATTTGTAGTATTTAAGAAAAGGGCAACAGAAATGAAAAAGATTAGAAAGAATAGCAAGCCATCGTAATTAAGGGCTTCTCTTAGTTTCTTAAGTATTTCATCAGTTCCTTAACAGATTTCAAACACCTAAAAAACCTAAAATTGTTAAGAGTTGTGACTGCATTCACAGCAGTTGAAGCTTGTTAGTTTACGGATTGCCAAAATATGTATGCAGCTTGCCTTAATCAGATTTCCCAAAACTTGAATCTTTCAGTCCGAAATGTGTGGAGGCAGCCTGACTGACACTTTGTAGTATCAGGAGACACTGTCAGGAGAACTGTAAATTTTCTTTTTTGGGGTGACTCCATGTGATCATTTGTTTGCTAAATGATTAGGGCATCAGCTTTGTATATGTGTAGTTGAGTTCTGTTTCCTAGCATGCTCCAGTGGTGCACTACAGATTGATACTAATCATTTATTTCTGGACTCTTCCTTTACTTCTCACAAAATAGGGTATTTGTTCAGTTTAAATAAAAATCATTTTATTTTTGTACTTTTCCCTTATACTTTTGTTACAGAATTTGGGGAAGAGGCAACTTGATACATAAGCAATAGAATTAGACATGGTATCATAAAAATACCTTCTTTGGGGGCTGGAGAGATGGCTCAACAGTTAAGAGCAGTGACTGCTCTTGCAGAGGACCCGGGTTCAATTCCCAGCACCCACATGGTGGCTACGAACCATCCTTAACTCCAGTTCTAGGGGAATCTGAAGCCCTCTTCTGACGTCCACGGCATTCATTGCATGACACGGGTGCACTCACATACATAAGGGCAATACAGTCGTACACATAAAATAAAAATAATAAAATATTTAAAAAAAAAAAAAAAAACCCTTCTTTGGATTCTGTATTTGAATCCTTTCTGTTTGGCAGGTGCTCCTTTGTCTTAAAACTCCTTTAATTTTAGGAAACTTTTTGTAGAAAATTCTTCTTATTTCTTCATAGCTACTGTGCAAGGTCTTTGATGAGTGCTCGGTAATAGATGAAACTGAAAGCTTCCTTGAGGAGTGTAGTGTGAACAGGCAGTATGAGGACATTCTACACAAGTGCTAAGAGCTTTCTCTCCGGGTTATATGTGGGTGGTTTCCTTTTGCGACCCCAGCAACAACCTGAACCACTTTTCAGGAGTTAGAAAACTGAAAATTGGGATCATACTGGCTATAACCAGAAACTGAAATCTAGCAGGAAAAAGTAACATTAGATGGCAAGCCTTTTTTGGCCACCAGCTCATTGGTTTTTGCTTTGTTTAGTTTGTTTCTGTCAATTCAGTTATACTTTCACCGCAGGTAGGTCACCCTTAAGAACATAAATCAGTCAGGCCAAAGGTGTACAAGAGTATAAGATAAAGTAGGTAAATTTCAGTCTCTTACAGTATTGGATTCAGGAATTTCTGCTAAACTGTAGAGTTCAGGTAACATGAGCTAGTGAACAAATTCTATGATATATTAGCACTAAATAAAAAATTGCAGCTTTTCAAATGGGAAGATTAAATATTAAAATTATTAACAACAGCATAAAGAATAAAGTTTATTATGAAAGCAAAACCACCATCTTGCTAATCTGAATGTATGTCTCAGGTTAAAGAAAATCAATTGTTAATAATAAAACATACTTAAAACTTCTCACAGGTGGAAATATTTGGCTATTTGCTTTCTCTGGTTTCTTTACTGGCACATTATATTTTTGACTTAAATCTGGGGAGGTTTAAGTAGTGCTGAGTGTTAGAATCATTTTTAAGATTCTGCTATATGTTAAGGAAATGGAGTAAATAATTTAACTAGTGTTAACTTTGTTATGTTTTTCTTTTTTTAAAATATTTTATTACTTTTATGTCATGTGTATGAGTGTATTGCCTGCATGTATGTGAATGTACCCATGTTATGCAGTGCTGTGGAGGTCAGAAGAGGGCTTCGGATTCCCTTGGAACTAGAGTTCGTAGCCACCATGTGGGTGCTGGAAATTGAACCTGGGTCCTCTGCAAGAGCAGTCAGTGCTCTTGACCACTGAGTCATCTTTCCAGCCCTGTTTTTCTTTTTTTAAAAAATATTTTATTATTTTTATTTTATGTGTATGAGTGTATTGCCTGCATGTAGGTAAGAGCACCCATGTTCTGCCATGCCTATGGAGGACAGAAGAGGCCATCGGATCCCCCTGGAACTGGAGTCTCTGACAGTTGTTAGCAGCTATGTGGGTGGTTGGATTCGAATCTGGGTCTTCTATAAGAACCAATTCTTAACCACTGAGCCATCTCTCCAGCCCCAATGTTTTTCTTAAACCAGAAATTATCTTTTGATTCTTTAAGAAGAATACATATTACAAGCCAAATCCTTCTGTGTTAGATTTGAGCCAAACAAACCAGACAGTGTCAGGTTCCAAAAATACAACCTGAGTATGTCAGAGGATCATGTTCTCCAAAGCACAGTTGTGCATTTTATCAGAGATTCTCTTGGTTGAATTACTTTACAGTTTTTAAGTGCTACTCTCCTCATGCTAAACAATATATCAGGAATAGTAAGTGGGAAGGTTGAGACCAGGTTTGCTAGAATGTAGCTAATGATGCTTATAGTCAACATAATCAAAGAAAAATAGTTTAAAGTTTGAATGATTTTTTAAAAGCTGTTCATGCTAACTTTTTTAAAATAATTTTTTAAATTTATTATTATTTTATGTGTATGCGTGTATTGCCTGCATGTAGGTAAGTGCACTTGTTTTGTGCCATGCCCGTGGAGGACAGAAGAGGCCATCGGATCCCCCTGGGACTGGAGTTACAGACAGTTGTTAAGCTGCCGTGTGGTTGCTGGGATTCAAATCCCGGTCTTCTGCAAGAACAACCAGTGTTCTTAACTGCTGAGCCATCTCTCCAGCCCCCCGCCCCCCATGCTAACTTTTTGAGTCTTCTTTGCTGTTAGTTTGAGATGATTTTGTTTGGGTATGTTTTGTTCTCATTGTAAAACTCTAAAAATTCAATAGCTGGTCTTTGAAGACATCAGTACAGTATAAACTGTAATATTTATTGACTTTCAGCTTCTAGACGAAATGTCATTTATCTAGGGGAGCCCTTCTCATAGATAGATAGATAGATAGATAGATAGATAGATAGATAGATAGATAGATAGATAGATAGATATAGATAGATAGACAGATAGATAGATAGATACACACACATATATATGTATATATATAAAGTAACTTTTACCTTTAGATTGATAGAAATATCTGTTCTCTTGACTTCATTCTCATTGCATATATTGGTTTTGCATTCAAAGAAGATGCCAAAGAGGAAGAGGATGCTTCTGGATCACAGCCAAAGGGGCTACAGAAGACAGACCTCTATCACCTTCAGAAGGTCAGATCGTCTTTTTCTTCCAAGTACATTAGGTGATGCTGCCTTGTTTCAATTGGTGCTCTGGATTACCTCTGCCTGGTTACTTTTGCTTTCGTTTTTAAGTCACAGCAGGAATAACACAGACTTTGTAATTCATTTATAAATCAAAACATGGTGATGCCATCTAGGGGTACAGGAACAGGTTTGATTTTTCATTGATTAAAGGATTAAAAGGTAGGAAAAAAAGCGTTACTGGAAATCTTGGGGAATCCCTGCACAGCCACCATATAATACTGGGAAATCAGGGTTCCCTTTTGGAGTTCTTTCTTTTTTTTTCTTTCTTTCTTTTTTTTTTTTTTTTTTAACATGCATGAGTGTATTACCTGCATAGGTGTAAGTGTACCCGTGTCATACAGTGCCCGCTGAGGTCAGAAGAAGTTGTCGAATCCCCTGGAACTGGAGTTATAGATGGTTGTTAGCTACCATGTAGGTACTAGGAATCAAAGCTGGGTCCTTTGCAAGAGCAGTCATTGCTCTTAACCACTGAGCCATCTCTCCAGCTCCCCATTTTGGAGTTCATAGTCTCAATAACGAAAAAAGTAAAATACACAGGGCAGGGAAGCAGTAAATTTCAAAGCTGCCTTGAGGAGGAAACTAGAGAAGATAAGTTGTCCTAGATGTCAGCATCATGGCAACAGGCAGTCAAATGGCAGGAAGGGGAGCTTTAGAGAAATAGTATGGAAACCTAAAGTGTTAGGGAGTTTAAAAGCATACCTAGGCTCTGACAAGCATCCAAAAGAAAAAGAAGTAAAAAAGACACTTTTCTCAGAAAAGAGGGCAAATGTAGCTGAGCCTCATGGTTCTGTTAGCGTGGCCTAAAGTCCTGGAGCTGACCATGTTCTCTTCTTCCTTGCCCTCTTTCTTGCTTTCCTAAATGAATTCTGAATATGAGCACACTACTGTGTGAGCAATAAGTAAACTTTTTCCTCTTTCCCTGAAAATTCACTTGGAATATGTTTAAAGCAAAACATATAGGAGGAAAGATTCTTATCAGGCTTTAAAAATAGAAAATAAAGCCCATTTTGATCTGGTTCTTTATCATCAACTGCCTCTCCACCTGAGCACAACTCTCTCTGACAAGTTTTCTGTCCCAGAATCTCTAAATAAGATTTGTTCTTTCACCCCCCCACCCCCATAGTCCTTATTAGAAATGAAGGAGTTAAGGAGAACAACTAAGAAGCAAACCAAGTTTGAAGCACTCAGAGAAAAAGTTGTGAACTTTATCGACTGTCTGGTGAGGTAAGTCTTTTACTCCTAGCAGCTAAAAGTCATCCTGTTTTTCCAAATACCCTGAGATAATAGCTGTCCATACCTAGTCCAAGACATTTCTCTAGGCCTTTCATGTTCCTCTAGCCAACTTAAAGTTACCTTTTTTTAATTCAATTTTTGTGTATTTCATACATAAAATCATCTTTATATCTCTGTGGCACTCCCCCGCCCCCCCACTGGAGTTCATACATTCTGTCATTTGTATTAATACCTATTATGTAAAGTTAGTGTCCAGAGATGTCCCTTAGTGTACGTTTATCCACCAGGGCTAAATCAGCTTATCTAGAGTCTCTCCCTTCAGGAAGACCACCTCTTCCTCATTCAGCAGTAATCAGCTGCCAATGATTCTTCACCTAAGATTGGGACTTGCTATTCATTTCCACAGTTCTGTGCTCGGTTTTTGTCTGCCAAAGTTTGCATGGGTCTTATGTATACTGAACCATTGTTGTAGGTTTGTATGAGAAGCGGCCCAGGAGCCTATAGGACAATTTCTGTATGGTCATGCACCTCCTCCCTGGCTCTTACAATCTCTCCGCCCCCTCTTCCACAATGGTCCCTCAGCCCTGGGTGGGTAGACCTCAATTTAGGAGTCCTGTTCAAGGACTCACACTCTGCTAACTCTTATTCTCTGTGTTTTTGCCGTTTGTGGCCTTTTGTGTTCCTGACCCTCTGTTGTATGAGGGAGTTTCATTGATCAGAATCAGAAGCATTAGTGTTCTCTTCATCCCTTGTTCTCTGGTCTGGGACTCTTGGGTGTAGAGATTGCATCCTAGATGTGCCACTTAGGCTTGGACAATTCACAGAGAGCCTCTGTGTGTGACCAGTGGTATAACTGCAATAATCTGTCTGTTGAAAAAGAAGCTACTTTGACAGGTGGTGACTGGGATATTTGTTTATAAGGATTTGGTGCTAGGATCCACAAATGAGGGAGAATGTACCTCTTTTGTTTTTCTGAGTCTGTTACTTCACTTAGAATAACAGTTTCTAGAGCCATCCATTTACCTGCAAATTTCATTATTTCATCTTTCTTTACTGCTGAGTAGAACTCCATTGTGTAAATGTACCACATTTTGGTTAACCATTCTTGAGCTGAGAGGCACTTAGGTTGTTTCCATCTCTTAGCCGCTGTGAAAAGAGCAGCAATAAACATGGTTGTACAGATATCTCTACAATAGGATGAATCTTTTTGGTATATGCCAAGGAGTGGTATGACCCAGTCATATGGTAGGTTCATTTTTAATTTTTTAAGAGTTCTCCACACTGGATTCCATAGCAGTTGCACGAATTTGTAATCCTGCCAGCAGTGAATGAGTGTTCCCCTTTCTCTACATCATCGCCAACATTTGGTATCATTTGTTCTCTTCATCTTAGCCAGTCTGACTGGGGTAAGGTGAAGTCTTAAGGTGGATTTAATTTGTATTTCTCTAATTACTAATGACACTGAATACTTTTTAAGGTGTTTCTTAGCCATCTTTATTTCTTCAAGTACTCTGTTTAGATCTTTAGCCCATCTTTTAATTGGGTCATTTATTTTCTTGATTCTTTCTTCTTTGAGTTCTTTATATATTCTGGATGTTAAACCTCTGTCAGTGTCACTGGTGAAGATTTTTTCCCACTCTGTGGGTTTTCTCTTCACTTTCTTGATTGTTTCTTTTGATGTACAGAAGCTTTTTAGTTTAATGATTTTTGAATGCTATTGATTGCTGACCTTAATTCCTGAGCAATTGATGTCCGATTTAGAAAGACCTTTCCTACACCTATATCTTGTAGATAACTGCCAGTGTTTTCTTCTAATAGTTTCAGAGTTTCCAGTTTCGCACTGAGGTCTTTGATCCCTTTGGAGTTGACTTTTGAGCAAGGTGAAAAATAAGGATCTAGTTTCCTTCTTCTACAGGTGGAGATCCGGTTTTGCCAGCACCGTTTGTTGAAGATGCTGTCTTTCCTCCATTGTGTGCTCTTGGCACCTTTGTCAAATATCAGGTGGCTGAAATTGCGTGTACTTGGGTTTAGATTTTCAATGATGTTCCATTGATCTATGTATCTGTTTTTGTGCCACTACCATGCTGTTTTTATGACTATAGCTCTGTAGTATACTTAGTGTTTCTCTTTGTAATCAGGGTTGCTTTGGCTATCCAGGGTCTTTTTGCTTCCATATGAATTTAAGGTTGGATTTTTCCTAATTCTGTGAAGTATGTCACAGGGATTTTGTTTGGGATTGCATTGAATCTATATATTGCTTTTAGCAAATGGTCATTTTCACAATATTAATTGTTCCAATATATGAACATGGGAGGTTCTTCCATCTCCTGGTGTCTTCCTCAGTCTCTTTCTTTAACAATTTAAAATTTTCATTGTAAAGATCTTTGGTGTCTTTGGTCAGATTTATTCCAAGATATTTTAATTTTTTTGCAACAATTGTGAATGGGAGCATTTCCCTGTATTCTTTCTCCAATTACTTGTTATTGGTATATAGGAAGGCTACCGATTTTTGTAGATTGATTTTATAAACTACCACTATACTGAAAGTGTTGATCAATTCTAGGAGTTTTCTGGTGGAACTTTGGGGATCCCTTTGGTATAGTACATCATCTGCAATAAGTGATAGTTTGACCTCTTCATTTCCAGTTAGTACTCCTTTAATTTCCTTCTCCTGTCTTATTGCTCTTGCAAGAGTTTCAAGCACTATGTTGAAAAGGAGTGGAGATAGTGGACATCCTTGTCTGGTTCCTGATTTTAATGGGAGTGCTTCCAGTTTTTCTCCATTTAGAATGATATTGGCTGTGGGTTTGTTGTATGTAGCTTTAATTATGTTGAAGTATGTTTCCTCCATTCCAATTCCCTCTAGGACTTTGAACACAAATGCATGCTGAATTTTGTCAAAAGCCTTTTTTGCATCTATTGAGATAACAATGCGGTTTTTGTCTTTGAGTCCATTTATATGATTAATGATGTTTATTGACTTGCATATATTGAACAATCCCTGCATCTCTGGAATAAAACCTACTTCATCATGGTGGATGATCTTTTTGATGCCTGTCTATATGTAGTTTGCAAGTATTTTGTTGAGAATTTTTGCATCTTTGTTCATTAAGGTTATGGGTCTATAGTTTTCTTTTTTAGTTGTGTCTTTGGTTTTGGTATTAGGATGATGCTGGATTCATAGAAGGAATTTGGGGGTTCTCCTCCTGTTTCTATCATTTTGAATAATTTAAGTAGTATTGGTTGGAGGTCTTTAAATGTCTGTTAGAATTCTGCTGGAAATCCATCTGGGCCTGGGTTTTTTTTTTAGCTGGGAGGTATTATATGACAGTTTTGATTTCCTTTTATGTTATGGGTCTATTTAAACTATTGATCTCTTCTTGGTTAAACTTTGGTGCATTCCCATAATTTTAGATTTGCATCCATTTCTTTTAAATTTTCAAATTTAGTAGCATATAGGTTTTTAAAATATTCCCTTATATTTTATAAGGGATTTTATATCCCCGGATCTTTTGGGTGTCTGTTGTGATGTTTCCCCTTTCATCACTGATTTTATTGCTTTGGATTTCCTTTCTTTCTTTCTTTTGGCTAACTGGGCTAAGGGTCTATCTTGTTTAGCTTTTCAAAGAACCCACTCTTAGATTCATTGACTCTTTGTGTTATTTTGTTTTTATTTCATTAACTTCTGCTGATTTTGTTATTTCTTCTTGTCTGCTGGGTTTGGGCTTCATTTGTTCTTGCCTCTCCAGAGTCTTGACTTGCAATGTTAAGTCATTTATCTGTGCTTTCATTTTTTTTTTAGGGGGGTGGGCGGGGGGAATTTTATTTCCAGCTTTATTTGATTTAGGAGTACACAGGCTCAGCTGAAGTCATGATGATGGTAGTTATTTCATGCAGAAGGGACTGTTGTATAGCATCATCTTATTAAAAGGACCACCACATGGAGGCAGGATCTGGGCGCTCTCAGGCAGTCCCCTGTATTCTCAGGCTCTCTGCCAGAGGGAGGCAAGAACTTACAGGCTGTCTGCTTGGATCTCCTGTGCTCTGATTTTTTCCGTAGGCACTTAGAGCTATAAACTTCCACCTTAGGACTGCTTTTAAAGTGTCCTACAGGTTTTTTGTGTTGTATTGTCCTTTTCTTCAAATTCCAGGAATACTTTTATTTCCACCCAGGTCGTGCAATGCCCGTGGAGGTCAGAAGAGGCTATCGGAGCCCCTGGAACTGGAGTTATGGACAGTTGTTAGCTGCCATGTGGGTGCTGGGATTCGAACCCAAGTCTTCTGCAAGAACAGTGTTCTTAACTGCTGAGCCATTTCTCCAGCCCCTTTTATTTCTTTCTTAATTTCTCCTTTGATCCAACCCACTCATCATTTAGGAGTGTGTTTAATCTCCATTAGTTTGTGTAGGTATGAGGGCTTCTTCTGGTTTTGATTTTAAGCTTCATTATATTGTAGTCTGATAGAATGCATGAAACTATTTCAATTTTTTTGTGTTTGTTTGTGTTTGTTTTATGCCCCAGTATGTGGTCAGTTTTTGAGAACGTTTCATAAAAAGTATACTGGTATTTGGGTGAAATATTTGGAAGATGTCCGTTAGGTCCATTTGATGTATGGTATCATTTAATTCAGACATATCTCTGTTTATTCTTTGTCTGGTTGACCTGTATAATGAAGATAGTGGAGTACTGAAGTCCCCTACTGTATTAGTCACTTTTCTGTTGCTGTGATAGAAACACTGACCCAAGAATTTATAGAAGGAAGAGTTCATTTGAGCTATGGTTCCAGGGGAATTACAGTCCATCATGGCAGGGAGGCATGGTGGCTGGAGGTGGCTGGAGCAGGAGCAGCAGAAGTGAAGCTCTCACATCATCACGCAGGCACAGGAAGCAAGAGAGTGACTGGAGATCCAACAAGGCTTAAGAATTCTCTAAGCCCACCCCCAGTGACATGCTTCCGTCAGGATAGCCATACCCTCTAAAACCTCCCAAAAC